GTTCAGATAATCTCAAAAAACTTGGAATACATCTATTAAAATTAAAAATAGTGCTAATGCCAATTCTAATATGACATTTCAAATATATCTTTTTCAGTACTATCAAAGGATAGACTGCGATGCAGATATCAAAAGTCAGCTACACAGGAAAATTTCTTTTTTCCATTTGATTCATTTAATTCAACATTCAAGTTTTATGAATGTGATAGATTTCGACATTTTGACTGGACCTTTGAAAAAGAACATCAAAAAAAGGATATAAACAACGACGTATAGAAAAGGAACGTGCAGAAAAATATGTAAAGAGAAGAGTATAGAGAAAAAGACGCATGAAAAAGAACGGACAGAAAAAGGCATAAAGCAAAAAAAATGTCAAGACTACAGTATGGTTTTATGTAGAATTTAGCAGTATTTTAGATTTTCATTCGGCAAAGACTTATTCTCCGTTTCTATCAACACTTCTCAAAGATATCAGAAAGCAAATTATATAAAAAAGACACTGCAAGTAGAAAAAAGTTTCCATCAACGTCGTACTGTTAGATGCATTTATTTGTTCATCACTATGAGAATTTTTATTATTATTATTTTATTTGTTATTATATTGAATATTTATTGTCAACAAGTTGAAGATATTGTACAATGTAATGAAATTAAGATTAACCATGAAAAATTACAACAAATGTCCATCAATGAACAAGAAGAATTTGTAAATAAATTATATTTTCTTCAATAGAGGTCTTACTAATTAGTGAAATGTTCTACTGTGAGCATTATTAAGATTTAAGGAAGGATATATCGGTTTTTCTAAAAGCATGATTATTGATGTGTTTTATTCAATAGGGAGTTATTCGAGTATACATCATGATCAGTAAAAGACAGAATATTTCTTATGAATCTATTTTTTACGTGCTGTAAAACATTACAATTCATATATTTTTATTACGAGCATACATCTTGTTTGTAATATAATTAATTGTATCAAATTTTACATTGTAGTTTGCGAGATACAACGTTAGAAAATTCCTAGTAATTCAAAGATAAGTGAATATATGAGAACATTACTTACAGAAGAAATATTACAGAACAGCAATTATCGGTATTCATTCTCTATTTCTTCTTCTACAACTTCTTAGAAGATTACTATACGCTATCGTGTAATGATTGATCCATTCATATGAGAACCTTTTACTGTCTTTGTATATTTAGAGCTATTTGAATTTCAGTCCAAGGAAATTGATTAGTAGTATGCAGTATCATTAAGGACTTACTCCTTCTCCCGTCTAATATCGATTGTCGATAGAGTGTATGGAATTTTCATGACGCTTTCTGAAGATGTTTGACTAATGAAAATACACTACTCAGAAAGACTTTCACAGTACCCAGCTTTACTATCCAAAAGATTTATGGTGACCGTAGTGCAAAATACAGATGTCACACGTAAAAATTTTTTTTTTCAATATATTTCAAACTACAGTGCTAACTGTGATAGCGTTTATAACATTCTTATGAATATGATATTGGACTTCTCTATGTGGAGCTCTAGAAACTCATAATGACTTCTAAAGATAGCTTGCAAAATTGAAAGACGTTCTTATCAATTTTCCAACTAGATACCTGATAGTCACGCTTATATGTTTCTATCAAAAAAACGTCTTTATTTCGATAAATCGAATTTTTTGGAGGAAACGGGAGCATAGTAAAACTTCGAATCGACCGAATGTCCAGCCAGAAAATTGCTTGGGCCACAATATCAGTCTCTCTATATTTTTACATCTAGGCTAAATCAATTTTAAATGAATATGATAAAAATTTAACAAGTCTTACTTATATATCAACATCAGCTGAATTTCAAAGACGTTTACATTTGAATGATTCAAGTAAGAAAAATATAACGGTAAATATTTATTATTTTCTTTTTCTCATGGATATTAATAATTTTATTTAAATTTAGGATAAATATTATGAACTTAATCGTGTCTGTCTAAAAACAATTGCTCTCGTTGCACGACATCTTCGATCTTCGATAAATATTCATAATGCATCATTACGTTGGTTATTATTGCGAGCACAAACTATTGGCGATACTGTAGAAAATAATACAGTTATGCAATCTGAAATACAAAGACTAGGGTCTCGTGTTAAAGAAATTTATCATCGAAAATTTATTTGGAATAATACACAATTAGGCATTGATGGTTTGTTTATTTATTTATTTATTTAGATAACAAAAAAATTAATATATGATTTTTTTTAGAGGTATCAGACATACTTGGTACTCTTGAATCTCCTGATGATCTTCTTTCGTTATGGAATGCAACTAATGAAGTAGCTAGACCTATGAGAGATTACTATTCAAAATTAGTTGCTGCACAAAATCAACAGGCCAAACAGAAACGTATCTTAGCACTAATCTTATTCTCATATTTGATCATCTCAGTTATATTAAAATTGATCTGTTACACAAAAATTTCAGAGATATTATTGATATAAATTCTTTAAAATATTTCCAAACAATCTATTTGAAATAGAATATGTATCGATATGTATATATTACTTTGTTTGGTTGGTCCATCTTATTATTCTTGACATTACATTACTGAAATATCATTATATAGAAACTACCACTAGGCAGATTCGATGGAGTTTAAATTATGATATTTCGTTGGAATACTACTTTTTTTTATTTATTAGATTCTGAGTAATACTAGTTATAACTTTACAAAGAAAAACAGAGAATTAAACATGGTAATATTCAACACATAAGTCTTTAGTGTCAGAAACAATCAACATAAATACTGTATTGAGTAAACAAACAGTAGCCATGTCTGTTTCTTTGTGCGATACGTTTAATCAATCCGTAGGAAGTAAATAACAATATAACCACTATCAAATTAACTATTTTCAATGAGTTGACCAAAAATGCACTTTGAAACATCACCGTTACGATCGATGAACGCATTATCGTAGACTTTTTATGTGTTCACCGGCTTCATTGTTATATTCCTAAATAGAATGAACCTTTGCTTCACTTTTATGACTATATTATTGAACAACTTTTCTTATCTCAAAGCGCTCCATCTTTTAATATAAAAAAGCTTTCAGTCCAATTCCTTCGCAATTCAAATCATATTTTTAGCATTCAACAAAAACGTAGAAAAAAAGCTAACGTTGTGAAGCAAGTTTCACAATCTGTTCATATTCATTATTTAACTCTACCAACTTAAACTGATCTGATTGTAATTATGTTCTATCCCAGTTGCAAACTTTTTCTTATAGATTTCTGTTTCATCTGCGTACATACTTCTTACTTATTCATTCACTTCAATATTCATACTTAATTTTGCTCATGCTCCACAATGCAGAGGATGTGGATGAATGATTGATTCTGTCTTTAACCTGCACCCACACCCCCAAGTCTAAAAATCAGTTTTTCCTATCCTATTCCGTTTGTAAATACTTTTACATTATGTCAAATAATATCTTGATGTGACTGATTCATACTCAAATAAAAACTAAAATAGGGGAAAACAAGATTTCATATATTGATTTAAGATGTTCATGAATAAATAAATCGTTTGTAAACTAACCATAAATGAATTTTTATGATGATCCTGAATTATTTCCTTTTTTCTTCCTCATTAAAACAATTCTTTTATTTTTCTTTGTTGTCTAAGGTTTAAATGATAAAACTAACCTTGTAACAAATAATGAAGAACGTCGTATTGTTGAGCAATTATGGCAAGAATTAAAACCATTACATCGTCTGTTACATGCTTACATAAGACAAAAAATGAGTAAATTCTATCCGGACCTTATCAAATTTGATCAACCGATTCCAATTCATTTAACAAGTGTGAAATAATATTAAAAAAAAAAGAATGATTATTTTTTTATTATATTTGCATATTTCTTGTAGAAAATGTATTTGGTTCCATATTGACTTATCTTGTAAAAGATGTTCTACCATTTCCACATCGTAAAGAAATTGATATAGGTCCAGCAATGCAACGAAAAGTTTGTTTTGTTTTTTTCTTAACAAAAATTCTTTTGATTCGAATTATGATTTCTTTTCTACGATTAGAATCTTGCTGAAGAAAATATTTTTCAATATGCTGATAGATTTTTTGTTTCATTAAATTTAACACAAGTTCCAGATAGTTTTTGGAATTTATCAATATTTAAAAAAATTCCTGGTCGTCATATGTATTGTCATCCGAGTGCTTTTAATATGTATAAATATGATGATGTTAGGTTTGTTGAATCATATTATCAGTCATTAATTGATTTTGTGAAATACAATCTAGAAGAAGTGTTGAAACATAAATGAATAAATCTGGAGACTACGTCAATTCCATATTAGTTCCAGTTAGGGGAACTGATCTATGTCACTAGAAATCTCATTTTAATTCACTAATTAGATCTGTAATTGCTCCATTCTGGGGCTATACTTCTGAACTGCACGAATGACCTAGAATGAAGCTAACGGAAACTTAATGTTAGGAATGAAGAGTTGGATTCTCAAAAAAGAATCAGTTCATAGACTTCGGAGCTGTCACAGGTCTAGTGATAGAACCCTTAGTAACGTCCTCTTCTCAAGATCCAAATTTTGATCAGAGCCCGTTGGTCAACGTGATTGTGACGGTATTATGATACGATCACCATCAAGAAGCCTTGAGAAATATGTAAGGTGTGCTAATTGCTAAATCTAAACAACCAAAAAAAGAATCACGAATCTTGGCAGGAATTATTAAGATGGTTTAAAAACTTCTATTAAGAATATTATCAATACAGATCCAGGTCTACGTCCAAAAATTTTTGAATCCAACAGGCTGTAATTGTAACACATGTTAAAAGTCTGTTTCTAATATATGAACTTCTTCTGTATTTCATTCCCGAAAGATGAAGTGAAACAATAGTGAAGTAGTGTGCCGTAAAATAAAAAGAATAAAATAATCTTCCTCTAATTATCAATAGCAGCTACATTGTGTTTCACATTTTAATTCATCAAGAATTACACTAATCGCTTTTTTTTATTTATTTAGAATACTTGCGTGTACAAGTTTAACATCACTTGGTTTTTATATTGCTCATCATGAAATGGGTCATATTCAATATTCTTTACAATATAAATCTTTACCAATATGGTTTCGTACTTCTCCACATGGTGCATTTGGCGAAGCTATTGGTGATACAATTGCATTAGCTGCAATGTCACCAACACATTTAAAACGTATTGGTTTATTGGAAAATGATGCATGGTCTAAAGGTTATTTCTTTTTATTTTAAATAAAAATTTAGAAACTATTTCATTTTTTTTTGTGTATCCTAGAGGATAATATAAACTTTCTAGTGTCACAAGGTTTAAGTCGTCTATTTTTACCACCTTATGCATATGCACTTGATATTTGGCGTTGGTCAGTTTATAATAGATCAATACAACCATTTGAATACAATAAACGCTATTGGGATCTTATGTAAATTATCTTATTTTTCTTGAAAACGTCATGTTTCAGAGCATCTGAATCGTAGTACAAAAACAAATTTGCATATAGTAGGCGAATGTTCTCGACAAACATTATATTTTCTAAGATTTATATGCATATATAGTTATATATAATCAATTCGCATCCAACAAATATCATATATAGTGATAGATTTTAGTCATAAGAAACAAAGTTTTTTTGTTTCTCGTGCTCAACTGCTATGTGTATTGAATGAATTTTTTTCTTGAGCAGTTTTCATACTACCTAGGATTTTAATCTATTTCTACTAGTCAATTTTGAATAATTATTTTCTTGAAACCGATTTTCGATAATAGACTTTTAATATAGAGGCTATGATCATAAATATAAAGTTTCTTTGTTGTCAATTATCATACAACTGTAAGGAAGTAATTGATAATGAACAATTTAACTTTTTCTAGTATATCCAATACTTGATCTAACAATTTTTATACATAATTTTACTGTAATAAACTTTTTTGTTTTATTTATATATTAAACTCATTTAAAATCATGTTGATAGATATACAATCAAAGACCGCATATCGATAACACCTTGTTATAATATATGGGCTACTTCTTTATCGCATTTCTGTAATGCACAATATAAGAGTGGTGAAGAAATATGTCAAAAAAATATATGGATTAATGTAAACTGCTAGTAATTAAGAAAAGTAGCTACATAGTATTTTACATTTCAATCCTACAAGCAATTGAAGGATTATTAATTTGTAGTCATTTTCTGTTATGTTTTACATTAAGACATCTATAGAAAATATTTCTTTTTTTGTAAATAGTAAATTTAATAATCAGAGATGCTCTCCTTCTTTCATGCATTCATTTTGACAATTAAATTTGAAAGAACATTTTCACATTCATTTTCTACTCGCTCCATTGTAATTTAAATGATGAAAAATTAAGTAAACATTTTGTGACAGAATTTATAATATTATATTTCTTCTGTAGTTGTCAATATCAAGGTATGAAACCAATAAAATCTCGTGATGAACGATATTTTGATGCTGGTACTAAAGTTCATGTTGCTTATGATGTACCATATATCAAGTAAAAATACTTATTAAAGAAAGACAAATATACAAAATATATCTTTTTTACTATCCAGATATTTTCTTGCACATGTTTTTCAATTTCAAATATTTGAGGTTTTATGTCAAGAAGCTGGTCATCAAGGACCATTACATTTATGTAATTTGTATGGTTCAGTTGCTGCTGGAAACAAACTTAAGTAAATTTGTTCTTTTTTATTTTGTTATTTATATAGATACAGGACTTATTTAGAATATTACTTGAACCTGGTGCATCAAAATCTTGGCAGAATATATTAGAAGAATTTGCTGGTGTAAGAACATTTTCTGCTAAATCATGTTTAAGATATTTTCAACCACTTCAAGATTATCTTGAAGAATTAGTTCAACAAGGTGAATTAAATGTTGGATGGACATGTAATACGAGTAATTCGAGAAGAGATGAATTATTTCAAAGAAAGTTTATTGTATTTATATTTATGAATTTATCGATGAGTTTTTTTAATTTGTAATTTTTTTTTTTGATTTTCCGACAACAGATTTAGTTAGAATATGGCATAAATATAATATTTTCTATATAATTGTAATAAAAAGAATGAATAAATTTATTGTGTCTTCGAACCTCCGAATATTGTTTATACGATTAGAATACGACTTTTTCTAGTTAATAGATATTATTTGTAGTGCTTACATTTTGTTTTGTCTACGTTCCTCCAGCAGTAATCAACTTGAAAAAAAGTATTCACATAAAACACTCTCTGTTGTGTCGCTTTTTTTACATTTTTAAAAGAGAAGATTAACTGAAAAAAAACCAAATATTCGATATCGCATGCTGTAGAAAAACGCTAGATTTTACTAATTAATATTTATTTACATTTCACAAATCAATATTATTGCTTTATGTCTTCTAAAAAAACTTGCATGAAAATTTTTTTTTGTAAATAACTAAGTGTAGTTTCATTTACAATTATCATTGTAGCTAATAATTGTAGTCAAATAATAAAGCCAAATATCTAACAGTTCAATAGATGAGAATTATTCGATATTGATTTATTATTGTATTTCAATCTTACAATTAAAGTTACGTCTCTAAACTAGCAATTTACTTTGCATAATATTCTTTCTAGCTAAGATGAAGTGGAAATAACTGTTTCTTTTACTAAAAACCGACGTCAGTTATCAATTACAGTAATCTTAACTACGTAGATCAAACATTTATTTCTCCATAAAAGCTTCCGTTTGATACAATTAGTAACGAAGTATTCCAATTTATTCTTCTACAATATGTTGCGTTTCTTCATTTATTATAAAATAAATTATTGATTAATCGATAAGTTTAATCACACCTGTGAAAAAAAGACTCATAATGATTCCAGAAATATTTCAAATAAAATAACTTTAAAAATCCAATTACTAAATTAAATCATATTTGTCAGATGTTGATAAAAAAATTTCAAAACTACAATTACTTTATGAACAAATTTTGTAAACTTCGACGCATTGTTTTCAATCAAATATTAAAATAAAATTTTATCGATGTTCGTAAATGAGAAAAGCTGATGAACATGTTATATGAGGAACATCACTCTAATAAAAGTTGACAGAAAAGATTCATTATCATATATCTACCATTCCATTTGATTTTCACTGTTTTACAGTCCCTAAAAGTATAAATAACTAATGTCAGCGCAATACTTAAAAATATTCGGTTAAAGATTGAATAAATTGGGAACGCAAGCAGCTAGCGATCTGGGATTTTTAGCAATCAAAAGAGACGAAATGGAGATGTCTTTTTATTCGAGTGTGAAGTGCGAGTGGTGTAGGTATAACTTTTTTCACGCATACCTAGTCATACATCCACTCTTACACACCCACACCCACACCCCAAACCCCGCACCCATCCACAACCTTATAGACAGGTATGAAGAAAAACAATTCGATGTTGACGAATATCATCACTCTCTCTTTGTTTCGTTGAATTCATACATCACAATTTTTCGCACCATCATTTTGAGATGAACATAAAAATAGGAGCCGTTTAGTTTAATCAGGATACCATAATGGTCCATTTTTAGCGCACTCTCTTCCCATTTCAACGAGATGCTCGATCGTAGCTTGGTTGCTATGATAATAATCTAACTTTTTTGCAATAATATATGCCCGTGCTACGTCAAATAAATCACCGTCCGCTACTCGTCCTCCTTGAAAATTTGGTGGAAAATCCCATTGCCCACGGTATCGAAAACCTCGAAATACTTCCATTTTCCATGCCCAAGAAGAATGGAGTATACTACCACCAAAAGATCCAGACCAATTGTTGACTCTGTCTTGTGGAACTGTTATACCTGGATATGGATTGCCAGCGTTATTACAGTAGTATCCTTTAGTCCATGCAAAAACGACCGACGGAAAACGTCTAAAGATCGATAATAGTTCACTCAGATGTTCTGTAGACCAGACATCGTCATCATCGAGATTCGCAACAAATATGTCACACTTCGATGTACAATTATTATGATGCTGCTCAGCACGTTGTAATGCGTTGTTCATAGCTACAACACCACCGCTTTCCCACAATTGCATGCCAGTTAGATTACCTCGCTCTCCAGGTTCTGGTAAATTGTGCAAAAATAGCTTTGACGATGGTATCATTGTAAAAAGCGACTGAAATTCCGTTTCGTTTTCATACTTGTCTCCAGTAACGAACAATTCCCAATTCGAATATGATTGAGCCAGTATTGATCGAACTGCTCTTTTTATGTAATACGGTGATCGACCATTTTTTCGCATATAACTCGCCATAACAATAATAAACAAAGGACTATGTCTAGTTTCTAATTTTGTAGCATTGCCAAGAGCAAAATGTCTCGACGGATGTGAATAAGCCATATATAGCCAAGTCAAAAGAATCACCGTACAGATGGTGAATATTATGGCAGAGAGTTTGTTCATTGCAATAATAGACCGCATATTGAATTCACTATAAACATGGTTCAAAAATTAATTGTTAGCAGATATAATATTGGTGAAACTTATCAGCCTTAATAAAAAGGAATGGTGTCCTAATCACACAGTCACATAACAGTAGTTCCTCCTATAGTAACCATATGTACTAAGAAGTTTATAGTTCTTCTATACGATACATTGAATTCAGACGAAAAATTATTCATGAAAAACATTTTCTTTTCTCAGCTGTGTTGAACTC